AAGGGCTTCATGCTGCTCTCTGTCTGGTGCAATTACCAGTCCTGCTTTCACTAATTCTGATTGTAGCAGGTAAAGCAGATGGTCCTTGTTTAAATCTTTGCCTGCAATTAGGATATCATCCATATAGTGATAACAGATTTTTGCAGTTTTCATCGGATCGGTTGCAATACTCAGGCAATATACAGTTGACAAAGAACAGGAGAATTTTTCATACCTTGAAGTAAAACAACCCATTCATATCTCTTAGCAGGCTCTCCTTTGTTAATTGCTGGGACAGAGAAAGCAAATTTTTCACAATTGCTTGGGTGTAGAAGAATTGTGAAAAAACAGTCTTTAAAATCAATTACTATTAAATCCCAACCCTGAGGTATTATTAAAGGGCTAGGCATGGTAGGTTGCAAAGCAACGACATTCAATTGTCTTGTGTCCAAATTTGTCATATCTAATACATTTATCTGCAAAACCAGTAACACTACCGTGTGGGGGGGGTGGGTGGGGGCGGAGGGCTGCTGAACTAATTTTCATTACAGTACACTGTTTCTTTTTAAAATGTCCCGTCCGTCCACAATTATAACATCTCATACCTTTAGTACCCCCACGATCGCCCTAACCGCATTGTAAAAGGGGTTTAACAGCAGCAGCGAAGGCAGTAGCCATGTATCCAGACTTTTCCTCTGCTGTGCCCCCTTTAAACCATATCTGAAGGTGGGGAGTAAGCAACGACTGAGGTATCATACGGATATCATATGGAGCTAAGATATATGCAGAAAAAATATGTGCAGTAATTGCCTGAGTATACGAACTGTCTGAACCGTCTGAGTCTGAGTTGGTATCAGGAAGGGGAGGGTACAAGTCCGGTTCTGCTGGAGACTCTGGGTCTGGTTCCAATTCTGATTCGGGGCCTTCTTCCTCTAGGTCAAAGGTGACCGCGTTTGCACTTTCTACTTGTACTTTCGGGCGCGAGCGCCGTTTCACTTTATCTTCCCCCTTATGCCGAGGAGGCTTCTGTGATGCCATGCCAGGCACAATGGTGGGGGGCAAATACCATAGAAATAGCACTCTTCTCTACCTCTGACTGACTTTGTGAAGGAGCAGTGGCCAGGAAAACAGATGCCACTGCTGCCTGTTCTGATTTCATTTCCTTTAAAGTCTCAATTATCAATTTCCATAACGAATACTTTGGGGCTTCCTTTGTCCCTTTACTAATCTCATCCCACAACGCCTGACCTATACGTTCCCATTCAGAAACTTCAAAGGTGGCTTGCTCTGCGGGGATAAAGCTACGATCCTGGGCCCACTTTAACAGCCTCAGTGAGGTGGCACTATCATGTTGCAGTCCTCTCTTAGAGAGAATTATGTTGGAGGAGCTCCATCACTGCCTATTCCTCTTTGGAAGGTGAGTGCTTCTTCTCCTCCCCAGCCGCTCACCTGATCAGGGTGAGATCCCACTGTTATTCCACTGTTTGCAGATGTCTGACTTTCACAGCGCCGGGGCAGTGCTGACTTTCGGCCGACTCTCCGCCCCCTCTTCTTTTGATCAGACCTTCAAACTTGCATGCCACAAGTTACCGATCTGAGGATCCCTGTTCGGGCACCATTTGTGGACGCGGGAGTCACGGACAACGCAGGAACCATCAATGTGATCAGCGAATGCCAATTTATTACAAAGCTTTAACTCCTTATATACCATTTCTTACAGGCATTTACAGTGATTTGGCATATTATGATTGGATACATGTCTTGAAGACCCTTAGCGACTAACACACAATTGGTTAAGCAGAGGTGTGAGAACTTGACCTGGAAAGCTTGCCAACAGTCCACAGTTCTCATTAACTCAGTAAATTACAGCTGCTTCTTCTTATCTTGCTTGCTTAAGCTTCCTTGGGCCTCTCAAGGCCTTGCTGTATGTTTCTGGATTATTCAGTTTTTGCACCAATTATCCATTCTCCCATGAGAACACTGTCTCCACACAGTGGGGCTGAGGTCTTCATTCTCACAGGCCCTGCGTCTGCCTTCCAAGACTTGGGTGCTGTGGTCGGAGCCTTTGCCAGTGAAGACTGAGGCACAGAAGTCATTCAGAACCTCAGCCTTCTCCAAATACTGTGTAGCTAGTTCTCCCGAGAGCTTCCTGAGGGGTCTACATTCTCTCTAGTCTGTTTTTTATTTGCTATGTACCTGTAGAATCCCTTCCTGTTATCCTTAATATCCCTAGCCAAGTTTAATTCTAACTGGTCCTTAGGTTTCCTTAACTCGTCCCTAGCTTCCCGGACAACATCCCTGTACCCTTCCAGGCCTCCTGTCCTTGCTTCCACCTTTTATAAGCCTCTTTTTTCTTTAGAATTTTCCTCAGAAGCTCCTTATCCATTCAAGGAGGTCTCCTGGCCCTCCTGTTGCACTTCCTTGTAGTTTGGATGCAACACTCCTGAGCTTGTAGCAGCTGATCCTTGAATATCAACCATGAGTCTTGGGCCCCCGTGGCCTCTAGGGCTATATCCCATGGAACATTTCTAAGCAGGTTCCTGAAGATGCCAAAGTCTGCTCTTTTGAAGTCCAGGGCAGTGAGTTTGCCTCACGCTCTTCTCACTGTCCTAAGGATCTCAAATTCAACCATCTTGTAATGGCTGCATCCAAGGCTTCCCTGCAGTGCCACATTTCCAACGAGCCCTTCCCTATTGGTGAGCACAAGGTCAAGCATGGCACCTCTCTTTGTCGGTTCCTCTATTACTTGCAGAAGGAAGTTGTCTTCCACACAATCGAGGAACCTCCTGGATTGCTTGTGCCAGTCCGTGCTGTCATTCCAACAGATGTCAGGGTGGTTGAAGTCCCCCATGAGAACAAGGGCCTGTGAGCGTGAGGCTTTTCCTATCTGTCTATAGAGTGCTTCATCCGCAGGCTCTCCTTGATCAGGCGGTCTGTAACATATCCCCACAGTAATGTCTCCCATCGCTGTTTTCCCTTTAACCCTGACCCACAAACTCTCTGTTATCTGCTCACCTGTCCCCAGACAGAGTTCCATACTCTCCAGCCTATCCGTAACAAAAGGGCAACTCCCCCTCCCCACCTGCCAGGCCTGTCTTTTCTAAAGAGCCTGTAACCTTCCATTCCAACACTCCAGTCATAGGAGCCATCCCACCATGTTTCTGCAATGCCTATTATATCATACCCCTGTAGACATGCACACAACTCTAATTTCTCTTGTTTGTTCTTTCTTGTTTGCTCTTTCTCTTCTTTATCAGACCAGCTTCACCATCCCCAGTAGGCCTTGTGTACAATCTTGGGTTCCATGTTCAAGACACCCAATCCCCTGACTATGACACCACCCTTTTAACCGTTTACTAACTTAGCTAATCCTCCTAGTTTTTTTTAGGTCCTCCCCTGTATCCTGGACATTTGACGAAAAGACTATCTGAGCTCCAGAGCCCTTAGCCACTTCTCCCAGGGCTTTGTAGTCTTTCTTTATGTTCCCCAGGCTTCTTCTGTCTATATCCCTATCACCCACATGTATCACCAAAAGTGGGTAATCTTACTGTGAAGAACATATCAGAAAAAGTCATAGGTTTCATGCTTCATAAGTAGTATGGTTGCTTTTTTTCGCCTTGTCTTAATTCCTAGTCACTGTCAGAAGTTACTCAGCTAAGTGATTGCTTTCAGTGTTAATTTTATATACACTTTAAATAATTATTGTGTTTAAAAATGTTTGTTATGAGCTATGTAACTACACGTAAACCCCAGGTTATTAAATAACATGCTAAAGAAGTTGCAAAAGCTCGGCTAATTTGGCAACTCATAAGAGTGATAACTGGAGAATATAAAATGAATTATGTGTTACATTCTTTAAAAACAATTAAGAAAGGTTGTCTGAAAAGTTATCAAATTTGACAGCTCTATGAATTGCTCCTCTTGACAACTAATTCCTCCTTCACTTGCAAAAACAGAGGAAGGGAAAATAAGGTAATGTTTAAAATGCTCTTGAATGAGATTGGTTTGGTTGATATGTACAGAACTGTCCAGGTTCTAAACTGCTTCTGCAGCCTGGTAATACAGGTTTTTCTTCACATATCCCAGGGCCATAATTTGCCAGATCTTCTCCCAACTGTTTGGGAGGAAAAGGAATTGGGTTTCTCATGAAAATTTATCTCGTTTCATCAGCTAGGCCTATATTCAGGACAGAATGTGAGGAAGGAGCCACCTTTCTCTAGGAACAGTGGAAGCTCCTGAAATAGAGAAGGTGCAGTCTGTTTTCCCTTAGGATTTTAGTATATGGGCTTAGGATAATACTTAGGATATAGTATACTTTACTATATCCTTTACTATATAGTATATAGATATCCTTTGGTATATGGGCTTAGGAGAAAGACAGTGGTTTTATCCTTATATCTTGCATTGATGAAGGTTCAGAATTCATTCCTCTGTACAGTAGTATTTACCTTTGTAGGGAATTAATACAGCCATCCTCTTCCCAAGTTTAAGAAAAGATACTTTGATTGCAGTGCCAAACACAGAAGTTCAGAAAGCTTGCAATATATAACTTCCCATTCATCCTACACTAATCTCTTCTGTACATATGCAGTGAATTCCTTGCAGTCTGTGTGTGATAAATGCACAAAAATAAAAGCTTCAGCTGTGTAATCAAGGCACACAGAAGGCAATTATAAACTCAAATATTGATGAATACCGACAAGTAAATGTTATAACCGAACTAATGAATCAAATGTAATATCAGTTTTTTTCAGGTCACATTGTGATTTTCCTGATCTTTTCCAAGTAACTGTACGAAAAAAAGCTTTTAGGAGAAATATTGCGAACATATCATTGAACATAAGAAAACTCATTTTTGTATTATTTATGAATATATATTTGAGAACATATTACTGGTTTGTCTGGTTTTGTTTTTTTCAGCATTAATAATGATTACTCATGCAATTGCTGTTATTAAAAAGTCTTGGAGATCAAGTTACTAAGGAGGAATATAAATAAAATGCTTGTTTTTCCTTTATTAGCAACCAACTTCTGTAGCCACATCTACTGTTCACCTGGGACTTCCAGTGCAAGCCAAATTTGTTCAGTCAGCTGTTACACCTGTCAGTGGTACATCTGCTGCGACTCTGCCAGGAGGCTCTATTCTCTCCCATACCACAGTAAGTAGTAACAATATAAAAACCAAAAGATGTGTGAAGAAAAGGATGTTTGTAATTACATGTTTTTTCAGAAGTGAATTTTAATGTCCTTATGTTTAATGTTCATGTAGGACATGCAGCGAGAGGACAAGGGGGAATGGGTTTAAGCTGAAAGAGGGGAGATTTAGATTAGGTATTGGGAAGAAATTCTTCCCTGTGAGGGTGGCGAGGCACTATCACAGCTTGCCCAGAGAAACTGTGCCTGCCCTATCCCTGGCAGTGTTCAAGGCTTGGTTAGATGGGGCTTTGAGCAACCTGGTCTAGTGGAAGGTGTCCATGCCCATGACAGGGGATTGGAACTAGCCGAGCTTTAAAGTCCCTTCCAACCCAAACTATTATATGATTCTATGTTTGCTTTTATCAGGAACATAATCCCAGAAATTGATAATGAATGTATAGTCACGCTGTTACACAGGTGTTGAGCGATTGTGGTGTCTGTAAAGAAAGAGGCTAAACATACACACACACAAACACACTGCTTTCACAATTAGTTCTACTTTATGTACTCAAGCGTGGTAATATATAGCATACAGATATGGGTCTGAGCCATGAAACCAAACAGCAACTACATCTTTCCCAGTGACTGTTTTCAGTCACTATAAATTCCATTCTATAAACAGTCACTCCCCAGGCTGTTTCCCAGCTCAACCTTGCACCCAAATGCTCCCTGGCTTACTCAAGATCCAGGTGCACTGTCAGTAATTCTTCTTTAATTATCCATGTAGTCGGAACAGGATGGTTTGCAGTTCCCGCATCTCCCCCTTTTTTGTTTTGCATGATACTTTGACTTCAATTCTTCACAAGTTGGCAACAAATCTCTAGGTACTATCTCTGGCAGTGTTCAAGGACGGTTTGGACAGAGCCTTGGGTGACATGATCTAGTGTGAGGCATCCCTGCCCATGGCAGGAGGGTTGGAACTAGATAATCTTAAGGTCTTTTCCAACCCTAACCATTCTATGATTCTATGATATGGAGGAAAAGCAAAGCAAAGCGGCGATGTCCAGGCTGCAAAGACTGGGAGGCCTCCTGTAATCCTAGGGTGAAATCGGTGTGCTCAGCTCGCTCCCTGAAATGTCTGTACGCCAATGCGCGCAGCATGGGAAATAAGCAGGAAGTGTTAGAAAACTGTGTTAAGTCAGGAGATTATGACCTGGTGGCAATTACAGAGACATGGTGGGACAGCTCACATGACTGGAATATAGTCATGGAGGGCTATGTCCTTTTCAGGAAAGACAGGCCAGCTAGGCGGGGTGGTGGGGTTGCTCTTTATGTGCGAGAGCAGCTACAATGCATTGAGTTCTGTCCGGGGACAGATGACAAGTAAGTTGAGAGTCTGTGGGCGAGAATGAAGGGGCAGGCTGGCAGGGTGGGTGGGTGTCTGTTACAGGCCACCAGATCAGGGTGAGGAAGTTGACGATGCCTTCTACAGGCAGCTGAGAGTGGCCTCACAGTCACAGGCCGTGGTCGTCATGGGAGATTTTAACTTCCCTGATGTTTGCTGGAAGGACTACTCGGCAACCCAACCACAGTCCAGGAGGTTCCTCCAGTGTATGGATGATAACTTCCTCATGCAAATGGTGGATGAGCCAACTAGGAGAGGAGCGCTGCTAGATCTCATCCTCACTAACAAGGAGGGTCTGGTCAAAGCAGTAAAGGTTGGGGGCTGCCTTGGTTGCAGCGACCACGAGATGGTGGAATTCAGGATCTTGTGTGGTAGGACCAGTAGAATAGCAAGTAGAATTGCAACCCTGGACTTTAGCAGGGCAAACTTTGGCCTTTACAAGCAATTGCCAGGCTCTACTCAGTTGCTGTCGTGGTTTAACCCCAGCCAGACAGCTTGTTCACCTACTCCCCCCCTCTTCTTGCCCTCTCCCTACTTCTGGAGGGATGGAGAGGAGAATCAGAAAGAATGCAACTCCCACGGGTTGAGGTAAGAACAGTTTAATAACTAAGGTATAACACAAATCACTACTGCTGCAGCCAATAATAGTAATGATAAAGGAAATAACAAGGGAAGAGAATACAACACCTCATCACCAGCCGACCGATAACTCGCCCCCCCCCCCAGCCTGACCAAGCACCGACCGATACCTAGTCCAACCCTGCAGTCCACCTAGCCCTTCCGGCTAACTCCCAGTTACATCCTGGGCATGACATGCTGTGGTATGGAATACTTCTTTGGTCAGTTTGGGTCAGGTGTCCTGCCTCTGCTTCCTCCTGTCTTCCCCTCCTCCCTGGCAGAGCATGAGGCTCACAAAGTCCTTGGCCAAACCAAAACATCATTTTTATCAGCTTTGTTCCCAGATGAAAGTCAAAACACAGCACTGCACCAGCTACCAAGAAAGAAAAATGACTGCTACTGCTAAACCCAGGACATTATCCACCCCTTATTCCATACCATTCACGTCATGCTCAGATCCTACATTTTCAATATACCATCACTCTTATCTAAGTGCAATTCTATCTTAGTGCATGGACTAGTCCCTATAAAGCTGCTGAGTCCATCTGGTCCATGATGTCAGGCTCCATCTCTTGTAACAGTCTTTCAGAGCAGGAGAGGCTGTGTGCAGTGTTCACACTCATGAATAACCTGGGCAGTAGTGTCCATTGCTAAGTCCACCCCTTGATCATGAGTCCATCTCTATGTTGCACCTCTGCTCTGTTGGCCTTAAGGGTCATGGGCCCACCAGGCTCAAAATAATTCACTGTCCTTCCATCTCCAATGCTTCCAAAGCACTGGAGGGGCCCAGTGGACTAGATACTTGCCCATACTGTCCCACATGCCCTGCCACTCATGACTGTCCAGCCTTGGGGGAAACCTCTTGGTCCTCCCATATCGTTGTCTAACCCCAGACAAGACCCAAACCCGACTCTGCTTAACTTTTGAGATCAGACAAAATGGTGGTGGGTAAAACACAGTCTGTGTGTGTGCCAACATGCTGATCACCATCACAATCAGCAGGCAGGTCCCAAGGGTACCCAAAGGCCATTCAAAACCTTCAGAACTCTCAAGCGATGCTGCTGTACTTGTCACTGGGGCTGGTGTAGCTGCTGTGCTTGCCGGCTCTCTCACCACCAGCTTCTCTTTTTCTGAGTCCAGCTCTTCCTCCTCTGCCTTGCTGGGAAATGCTGCGGGGTCTCCTGCGTCCTCCTGGGGCTCGGCGGGCGGCTTCCGGGGAATGCTCTCGGCCGTCGCGGGGCTGGGCTCGGCCGCGGGGCTCGGCTCCTCCACGGGGCTCGGCTCCTCCGCCTCCTTCTCCCGCTGCTCGGCAGCCGCCTCCTTCCGCTCCTCGACCGCCCCGACCTCCTCCACCGGCAGCCGTCCCCTTGCGGCCTCCGGTCCCTCTCCCGCTTGGTCCCCGGGGCCGCTCTCCCGGGCCGCTTCAGCAGCTGCCGGCTCCCGGGGCCGCTCCCCCTCGGCTCCCCGTGGCCTCACGCAGACGGAGGCGAGGGCGAGGGCCAGGACGGTGAGGAGCAGCCGGACGGCCAGGTACCAGTCCACGGCCACGTCCGTCCCGCCCTGCTGCTGGAGCTCGCCCGTATTACAAGTCATTGCCATAAAGTACAGTGAGACAGGAACCTTAGCCCAAGCCCCACACTTGATAAACACTAACACAGCAAATACCGGCTCTAAGTAAGTTACAACATTCTGAAGCTGTGAGATCAAGAGGAACAACTCTGAGAGCCAATAAATCAGCATTGTGATGAGTGACTATTAATCCGGTCAGATCTGTCATTATCTCAAACCTTTGTGCCCCACGTTGGGTGCCAAAAAGAACTGTTGTGGTTTAACCCCAGCCAGACAGCTTGTTCACCGACTCTCCCCCTCTTCTTGCCCTCCCCCTACTTCTGGAGGGACAGAGAGGAGAATCAGAAAGAATGCAACTCCCACGGGTTGAGATAAGAACAGTTTATTAACTAAGGTATAACACAAATCACTACTGCTACCACCAATAATAGTAATGATAAAGGAAATAACAAGGGAAGAGAATACAACACCTCATCACCAGCTGACCGATAACTCGCCCCACCAGCCCGACCAAGCACCGACCGATACCTAGTCCAACCCTGTAGTCCACCTAGCCCTTCCGGCTAACTCCCAGTTACATCCTGGGCATGACATGCTGTGGTATGGAATACTTCTTTGTCATTTTGGGTCAGGTGTCCTGTCTCTGCTTCCTCCCGGCTTCCCCTCCTCCCTGGAAGAGCATGAGGCTCACAAAGTCCTTGGCCAAACCAAAACATCATTTCTATCGGCTCTGCTCCCAGCCCGAAAGTTATAACACAGCACTGCACCATCTACCAAGAAGGAGAAAAATGACTGCTACTGCTAAACCCAGCACAGTTGCAAACAATGATAGGACAAGAGGTAATAGGTACAAACTGGAACACAAGAGGTTCCAATTAAACTTGAGAAGAAACTTCTTCTCAGTGAGGGTGACAGAACACTGGAACAGGCTGCCCAGGGAGGTTGTGGAGTCTCCTCTGGAGACATTCAAAACCTGCCTGGACACATTCCTTGTAACCTCATCTAGGCGTTCCTGCTCCGGCAGGGGGATTGGACTAGATGATCTTTTGAGGTCCCTTCCAATCTCTAGCATACTGTGATACTGTGATACAAGATCTCACTAATGCATTGGCCAAATGGACTGGGAGTCTTGGGAACCTGGAGAATAGATGCTATTGCTTCCAAAAGCACAGTCCTTGGCTTTCCTTATCCCCTTCTCTGCTTGAGGAGTCTTAAATCACACAAGATCAGTTTCTTGACATTAGCATTTAAAGATGGAAAGTTCAAATACAATAGTTACTTATTATATTATTATTACTTATAATAGTTATTTGTGCTAACTTTTGCTTTTTTACTGTGAGAATGATGAAACCTGCTTTAGGTGACCCTGCTTGTGCAGGGGATTTGGACTAAATCATCTCTCATGCCAACTGCAGGCTGCTTGGCCTGCCCTTCCCTCCTGGATGGCCCTGTTATAACAGAGGAGGCCATACCTCACATCAAGGTTTGGCATGGCATGTGTTCCCACTGCTC